TATTATGGCAATAATGTAATTCAGATTCATCGTTAGTTTAATTCAATTACTCTTCCCTTATAACTTTCCCTGAATAAAGTTGTGCATTCTGTGTGAAAAAGGGCAATTAATGTAGGGAAAGCGCTTGCAGAGCATATACTTCAGATTAAGCGAAAATAGATGGCGAAACAGGACACCATATGCAGACGCAAAACGTGGTAATTTAGTGTATTAGTACTGTGGCATATCTTGTGTGCTGTTTTGTGTCAAGCGAGCGTCAGTCAAGTGACGATTATTCTGTTGCATTTAAAGTTAGGAAAAACATTCTAAACATTTTTTAAGATAGAATATTCTGACGTCAATAAATAATGAAAGATAAGCTATGATAAATGCAAATTAGTGCAATTATTAGGCGTTATTAAACTTAATTAACCAACGCATTTTAGGGTGTTATGGTCGGCATGGGTCAGAAAGACAGCTATGTCGGTGACGAGGCCCAAAGCAAGAGGGGTATTCTGACGTTGAAATATCCGATCGAACATGGCATCGTTACTAACTGGGACGACATGGAAAAGATCTGGCACCACACCTTCTACAACGAACTTCGTGTTGCCCCGGAAGAACACCCTGTGCTGCTCACGGAGGCCCCGCTGAACCCGAAAGCGAATCGAGAAAAGATGACGCAGGCATTTATGCCCTAAATTATGCCACATGAATTACTGCCATATTTTTTTCAGATCATGTTCGAAACCTTCAACACACCGGCAATGTACGTAGCCATCCAAGCTGTGCTGTCCCTGTACGCCAGTGGTCGTACGACCGGAGTTGTGCTGGACAGTGGCGACGGCGTCACTCACACCGTGCCAATTTACGAAGGTTATGCTCTGCCACATGCAATCTTGCGTCTTGACCTTGCCGGCCGTGATCTGACTGACTACCTGATGAAGATTCTGACAGAAAGAGGATACTCGTTCACTACCACGGGTATGGTCATGGCATACTATGGCATAATCTCTTTAAAACAGTAAACGTTGAAGTTCAATGTCGAAGTATGGATGAATAATAGAAAGCAAACAGTACTCTTGATGAAATTAGCATGCCCGTTTGCTTAAAGTTAGGAATGTTTTGAAAAGCACTATATGACTTTCTCTTCATGTGATGCAATATGACCTTTATATTTAAAGATCTTTAACTGAACTTGATAAGTTTAATATCAGGGGTTATTTTATACATTTGAAGAAATTTAGACTTCATTTTAATCAACGCATTATGTTTCTCGGCCAGTTTTCATAAAAAGTCTTGAGGGCTTTCTTCACATGATCGAAATCTATAAGATCGGATCGACTAATGATATATGTTGGGAAAAATTCCATTTGGACGTTCTATGTAGCGAATAAACCTATATATATTCATTTTCAAATACATCAGAGGCATTCACCGAGACCGACAAGAAATTGGTAACGAATCGCGCGCTAACCTCAAAACGTCCGTCATTCCTCACGATTTCGAGCCTTCTCCGTCCGAACGTGGCCCTCTTTGACCCTCATATAATCCTCTCACCGAATAAGGGACCTAGTCCACATACGAGGGTGCCAGTCGACAATCTTCTGTCGGTAAGCCATGCTACCCTCCTTGTCCACATAGCTTCAGCATTCTGATTTCGACCCCCACGTCCTTCACTCCCGTCCGCTGTAAGATCATCGCATTTGGATGTGGGCTCGACGTGAGATTCTCAACATTCTTCTTTCCAGAGCTCCCTCAGTGCCAGATAGCTGGTGCTCTTCTGTCTTGGTTCTTGACCACGACTCGCAGCCACCTGTTGGGATGATACAGCTGTAATGGTGGGTGCAGGGATCTCCTGGTGTTTCTTGCAAGGACGTCATCGGTGGAATGAAACGTGCGCAAATTGGCCCTCTTTCGCTGTTAAATTTCTCCAGCTTGATTCTGCTACATGTTGATCTCCTGGCTCATGGAAATGTATTTATCGACTTATTCGATTGTTAAGCTGTTTGATTTACCTGAGAATTTGGCGGGACATCTGATCGAGCATTTTCATCTTTGACCGACTGATTTACTGTTAGACTTCTGCACTTTTTCTTCTGTAGCTAATGGACCATTTCCGCAAATAACTCGACCTCATCAGCGAACGTATGAGCTGTTCACAGT